CAGCCCACCCGAAAATCAATATTAGTAACAATAATTGGGTGCAACTGAAGCACATCCCCAAAGCGAGGGGATGTTAACAATTTGAATGGGTGGGGGATGAAAAAGGGTTGTTTTTGCATTCTCAATCTTGCGAAGAAGGAATTTCCTCCATGGACCATCATAATAATAAAATACGATAATTTTTACTTATAATAAAATTTTTGTTTATATATTTTGAGAATCTTTTGCATTAGATTTTAACTCACTAAAGTAATTGTATGCTGTTTTTTACAGACATTAAATTTTCCCCTTTGATTTTTGTACAAAGTGTAAAAAATCAGTTTTTTGGATTTTTCACCTTCAAGTTTGTAATTTTTTCGAGCCAATCTGGACTCAAAACTGACACTGAAGAATTATCTATCAAACAAAAAAAATTTCATCGAAATCAGATGAAAACTGTGGAAATGCATAAACAATATCCGCATGCAAACATTTTGAGAAATATAGACACGGACAAAGACCTGCTCTGTGGTGCAACTGGCTGCATATTTCTGAGCAGTGGCAAACTTCATTCTTTAAAGTTTGGTAAAAATCAAGAGTTCAAAAGCTGATTTTCAAAGCAGGAAAGTATTTCCCACTTAAAGGACTGGCACAGCACAATATTCTTCCATTCCTTATTTCTTTTAATTAGTTTTCTGCAGTACCTAGTTAGGCTTAAAGCTCAGTATGAAGACACATATTCATACATAAAGAGAAATACACTTGCAAAGATATTTTCACATACTGGGAAAGGTTCATGTAAAAATCTGGACTCAAGATGAATATAAACGAAACAAGAATATGAAAAAAACACACAAAAAATGTTCACAATCAGATGATCGCCTAAGTATCAATACATGAATATATAAGCAAAAATATATGTATTTATATGAATAAATGTGTACATATCTGGACAAAAAAACCAATGCATATAATAAGCAAAAAAATAGAGAATTCCGTGTATATATTAACAGAGAGTCACTCATATGAAGATATTATCTCTGATACACACACACACACACACACACACACTATTCAAAACAGTCCCCACCCTACCAGACAAATACAAACAAATCCCTTCAGTTGATGCTAATGATATTTTGCCCTAAATTCTTAGAATCTCGACCTCTGAATGAATTGAGGTTTCCCATCATTGGTGGCCAGCTCTGTTTTGCTTAATCTATCTAAAGCCCATTTGGCTGCAAAATGCTTGCAAAAGCAAGATAGAGATAGAAAGAAAAGCAATTTACTGGGCCTCATCTGATAGCCAAGAAAATAGATAGGTAAAAGATATTGCAAGTATGAGATTTCAGGTTGGATATGAGAAAATTGGTATTATTAAGTCAGTTGATTTGGATCTATTTCCAAGAGCTGGAAGTTCATGGAAAAGAAAGCCAACATTTTTCTTTTCCCTTTTAAATTATGATCTTAAGGAATCGCAAACAAAACACAACATTTAATCTGGTTTATTTCATATTTATTCAACTTGATGGAATATAACCACAAAAAATAAAGACTTAATCTACTATGTGCTTTAAATTTTGTATTCAACAGTAAAAAAAAAAAAAAAAAAAAGACTCAAGTCATCACGTACTTATCCCAGTGTCCCTCTCACTTTTCAAAGCACTCTGCTGCAAAATCCTCTTTTTCATAATAAGCTGTTTCATTATGTTTTTCTTAATTCTCTCTATAGCCTGAAATATGCATTACAATACCAATTTTATATTTGGGTAAAATTAGAAGTCTCATGAAGATAAATCTGAACAGAGGGTATCTGTAACAGACTCAGATGATGCAATGTTTTGCCAAAAAAAAAAAAAAAGAAAAAAAAAGGCATCATTGTAAATGCAACCATCATACAATGATGTCTCACTGCCAAGTGAGTAACCTCATGAGAGAGTGTCTGTTCACACATGTGCAGTAATTTTCCCTCAGATTGGTTACTAAGTTACTGTAATAATGTGCAACTGGCTCTTGAAATATTGAAAAGGAATGGATACTCACTTTGTATTACAAGAATAATTTGTGATAAGAAGTTTAATAGACCAGACACTTCATACGTTCATAAATTTTGCACACAAAACTTTTAGTAGAAGTAGTAGAAATATTTTCTTCCCATATTCACAAATACTAATTTTCTATATAAACAACATAAAAACAAATAAATAGAATATCTGACAAGAAAATGCAAGAGATGAAATGAAAAATGTTCTAGTCAATGCTTCAGGTAAAAAATTCAAATATCTTATAATAATTGTGCATGCCCCTACACTCGTTAGTTCACATGACCATTGTGCCCTGCCAATACTTAATAAATAATGGATTATTCCATTTTGATCATTTGGTAAAAAACAAAAACTACTTGGTTTCAGTGTCAAAAAAGAAAGAAAGACGTGTTTAATGTCTTCTGCCAATACCTCATAAATAATAGACTGTACCATTTTGATTGTGTGGAATGACATGTCAAAGACACTACTTGGTAAGAAAGAAAGAAACAGAAGATAGAAGTTTTTAAAGTCTGTTTCAATAAAATGGAAAAAGTTGTCAATTTCAAGTCTTTTCATTTGTACCCACTTCTTAAAATAACAACCAGCATTCCTATTTATGATTGTTGTTGCAATATTTTAAAGTTGTTAAGCTCAAATATTTAACAATGCAATAGAGGAATTTCTATGGAAATTTTATTGTTATAGAACTCGCCATGGGATTATTCAATCATTAACTGAAGAATTAAGATCCATTAGAAATTTTAAATAGGAAACAGTGAAATTTTCATAGGTTAAAACTAGTTACTATTAATACTACTAGTGTATATAAACAAAGATGGTCAAAGAATAACAGTCTAAGAGTTCTGATAAGTACTAGTCAAAAATTGGTAATAGTTATCAATGTTTCATCTACTAAATTCAACTAATATAAATATGCTCATATGGAGGCAAATTTAAAAAAAAAAAAAGATTGTTATTTTGCAATAGTTTCTCTGTGTTCCATAGGTAAGAAGAGAGTTCTACTCAAACAGCTTTTGCCCAAGAAGTGCCACTTTGTAGAATAGACTCCTATGTTGGTTTTTTCATCAACATTTTAATCTTGACCTCATCAAGTCAAGAATCAGTTGTTATTTATACTCATAATTACTTCATACAACCTTCTCTTTCATTCATATCACACACCTCATATATCATTATCATTTTTACTGTAATCCTCTACTTTGAGAGGCTCTCCAGCCTTGTACTGAGTGAAATTTATTAAAAATGGAGTAATTGATTTCCGAGGCATATTTAACAGCAGAAATCTGTGACATCTAGTTTGATGTTACTGGTGTCACATTGAAAATTTTGAAATCTCTTTAGTTAAAATGTTTATTTTTCAAGTGATTTTTTCATAGGAAGAAGATAAAAAAATGAAAATTTGTGATTTTATTGAAATTATTTTCAGGATCATACAAAACAGATAGCAAAATAAATAAAATCAATATTAAATTCATGATGAATCTTATATGATCTGCTTTCTGCACTAGTATACCTCAACTTTTAGAATTTGAAGGCCATTAAGTTCATGCAATGACTGTGGGTAACTATGACATTTGGTTGGGAATTTAAGAGTCTATCCAAAGAAACACAACCAGATCTTGGCAGTTCCCCCCTTGAAGCTAGTAGGAAGAAAAACAAATCTCTTCAACTAACCAATAAAAGTGCAATTCTTTACAAAAAGTAAAAATGACAGAAATAGGATTTGACTTCAAAAATAAATGAATGTTGCTTGATAGTTCTGCAGATTGTCAAGTCCAATTTTTATTTCAAACTAAAATTGCTTTAACTGACCAAAAGTCTGACATTAATATCTGGTCGGTTAATTTTAAAACACTGCATCTAATTCTGCACTTATAGTTCCATGCAAAGGCAACATCCAATGAATCTATAAGGGAAACTAAAAATTAAATTATACAAGTAAACAGTAATATGGCTTCATAGCTATTTCAACACTGAAATAGCTAAGGTTGCAAGGAAGGAATAACTCAGACAAAAAAATGTTGCAAAAAACCAAAACAAGGCAAAAATTATATGCAACTGATTGTAGCAGTCTGATTTTAAGCAACACAATCAAAATTCAGCCAATGCAGTCTGTTTTTTTTTTGTTTTGTTTATGGAGGATAAATAATGACTGAACCTAGACTTTTAGAAGTTAAGATTGCAGTGTTTTGGGAAATAAAATTTTCAACAAAATAGTTTCAAAAGAGTGCTTTTATTTAAATAAAATAGTTGTTCCGATACTAGGATATATGGCTGGAGTATCTCCAATTTGTGTGTATATCACTAGAAGTAATAATCATGTTTCATCCTGAAAGTATTCTTCATCTCATCATCCAATGAAAACTTTGCTGAGAGCACGACTGCAAATGCATTTCAATATATATACATATAAGGATCTGAAAAGTTCTCATGTTTAGTCATGTGGCCAGATTTAAAATCTTTTGAGAATATATGAGATGGATCAATAACTTCATATCCTGATACATAATCATAATTTAAGTTTTGATCTCAAATTATCACTCAATTTTATTTGATCTATGTCGTTAATATTTATTTCTGCACTTGGTTAAGTGCATTGACAAGGAAAGAGATTATGTGGAAAAATATTTGTCATATAAAATACTATTTTGATCAACAGATTATGGAATTATTGATGCACCTACATAAACTGAGTGAGGATTTCACACATTTTAATAAAAATGTGATCAAAGATAGATATGTATGATTAACTGTTTAGTTTTTTTAATGGCTTATCACCCCTTTTGTGACATATTTTTAGACTGTGAGAATCTTGGTGGAGATAATAATAATTTTCTAACATAAATCCTTCTAGTTAACATATGGGTTAAATAGCAGGACTTGGGGAAATGAGAGGAATTCATACCTCTCTCAAGAGTAATGAACCCAACCAGAACTCAAACTCAGCTCTTACACCACCTGCACATCCACGCTTCTGGTATTCCCAGAAAGTTACCCATCTAGGTACTGACCAGGCTTGACGTTGTTTAACTTCAGTGATCAGAGGAGAAACAGTGTTTCAACATATGACCATAAGCCTAGATATGTGGGTCTATAAATGTCTTATGTCTTATAAATGCATATATATGTTAACATTTTTACATGTCTATTGGTATGTATACCTCATCTTCATTGTTATGCATGTGTAAGAATATACATAATTTATACAGCAATGTGTGTTTGTGTGTGTGTGTGTGTGTATGAAAGTTTTTGAATTTTCTACTCATTCTCTGACAGAGTGACCCTTACAATTTAATCCTTTTTTTTGTTTCTTTTTAACACATTATTTTTATTTTCTCTTCTACTCTCTTCTTTCCTCTTCCTTCATTCTTTACATCTACTTCCTTTGCCTCTCATGAGTCTTACTCACATTACCAATAATGATTTTCTCCATCCTTCTCTTCCCTCTTAAGGAGAGTCAAAGTGAGCAACATCCCACAATCACCTCAACAAGCAACTGCCAAAATCTGAAGAAGCCTTCAAGACATCAACAGCCTAACATTATTCATAATCTTAAGTGTTCTTTAATTTTTGGAGAGAGACCTTCACCCCTTTCAAAATCATGAAAATGAAGAAGATCAAGTTGGAAAAAGGGCAAACAAAGAATTTGCTGATGAGAAAGAATGAAAAGAAAAACTGTAAACAAGGCAAGAAACAAAAACACAATTCCAATGTTTAGTCATGTGGCCAGCTAAATTTCATTAATTTAACTGTCAAAAGAAATAACTTCTTCAATGTTACTCACTGTTACATAATAGATGTGTTACACAAGAGTTTAAAATACAAGTTGTTTACCATGACAATCAACTTTGAAATTCCTTTAATAATGTTGCCTCAGAACTTACAGTCATTATAAAGCAAAAGAGGCTGGCACACATTTTCAATACAAATTAAAGATGAGAAAGTTTAATTAATGATTAAGTTTTCATGAATAAAGTTTTCATTACAAACAAAATGCTTCTTTAAATTAGTTAATAATAAATTTAATGATATCTGCAATTATGAATTATTTTTTTAAAATGCCATGTCCTTTCACATAGGTGGTCAATTATTTATCTTATGAATTCTCATAACTTTCTGAGAAAGACCATGCCTCCCAAACCTTAAGAGTCTAGTCTACTCTGCTATTTACTTCATAGATGTGTCAAAGACAGATGGATTCAAGCCTTTCCTAATGACATTTGTGTGAAAGTGAACAAAAGAGATGAGGCAGCAATTTGAACTAGCCTCTTGATTCCACTTGCCATGAAAATGACCATTATGTTACCTTCACATTCAATTCTTGAGTTATATTTTTGTAAAAATACACTATTAGGCAACAACTTATTTATTACAGGACACATTAAATTTCTTAATGAAAGAATCTGCCAAAAACAATAACAAATATTTAAGGAACATGAGACATAGATATATACAACCTAATGACAAAAACAAATTAATCTCAATACTTATAGCAAAAACCTTCAACAAAATCACCACCAATAACACAAAAAAAAAGCAAACTTCAATAACTCAATGTTGTCTATGAATGTGTTTATCCACTTGGAGAATGTTACCCTAATAATAATTCAAACAACACATAAATTGGTTACACAAGAACAACATTATCATACTGATTAACAAGTCATTTAGCTGATTTTATATATATATATATATATATATATATATATATATATATATATAACGTCATCCACAGACAGACTGTTTCGCTGTTTCACAGCTCATCAGTGTGGCTAGACATCCGGTTGCCTCTAGCTTTCACCTTCATTCATTTATATATATATATATATAAAAATGAATGAAGGTGAATTTAGGTAGCAACTATTCTTTCAAACAAGTTCAGTTATTATTATTTCAATTCATCTTCCAACTGAAATTTATTTTAATGAATCATATTAGCTGAATATTTTTTACATTCATTTCAGGTAAAATACAGGATTTAAAAATTACGAAGTATTATTAAATTCATCCAATTGTGAATTCAAAATTGATTAAAATTAAGGAAAACACGTTTTACTTTGATCTAATACAATGGATTAGAATCTCTAAATCTGCAATGTAAAACTGAAATTTGATTGGCTGATGGTGTCATGTGACTTGCTACCAACAGTAATTACACTGCAAACAATACCATAAAAGCAACTGTCAATAACACAGATATCTGCTGATGAATTTTAAAGCTTTTGTAATTGTTTAAAGAAAAAGGTGAAAAAGCAATCAAAATGCACACACTCTATATATCAAACATGCATACGTATGACGAGATGCTGAAAAGTTCTTGGCCTAACTAAGAAGAGATTCCAAAACAAATTCTAATGTTTAGTCATTTGTTCAAATTCTGGGAAGTGGGTTGGGTTGAGAACTCCTCAACACCTCCTATGTATAGAGTGCAATGGATAAACTGCCATCTAAATTATGCAAGAATGAAAGTAACAGTGACATCTCGTTTTAACAAATATATTTACCTAAACTGCACAAAAATATCTTGGAATACTAAAAGAGTAAATTTATTCAATAAAATCACCATCACCTTCAACCACAACCTCCAGACAACTTTGAAATATCCTGCATCTCTTCTGGATGTTCTCCATGTTTAAGGTTGGTGAATGCTACCATAATCCTTGCCTTCAGTTCATCTTTGGTGTTACAAGGAGTTTCTCACTGAACTTGCAGTCTGGGAAGTTAGATGGCCAGATGTAAGGGATGATGTGGTTGCAGAAATTGTCTGAAAGCCATGACTGATTTTTTCTGCTTGTGTGGCATAATGCAGAGTCCTGTTGTTAGTCTTTCAGCAACTACTCTTTTAACCCAGGGCAACGATATAGGCCTCCATGTTGAGTTTGAGGCCCTCATCAACAAATTCAGGAGTTCTTTTCTTCAGAACAATCAGTGTGAGTTTTTCGATCTATTGTAGCTTCATAATCACCATTAGACTCGTCCAACTTTTTCTGAATCCTCTGCACTGTCCTCAGATTGACACCCAAACACTCTGAAATGTTCATATTGTAGCTTCAGGCACGAATTCCAAGCAGTACAGCATACCATTTCCAAATTTCTAGCAGAAGCAATTGTGTCATGGTGCTCTTTTTCTCACAGATGGTTCCCAACTGACCCTACTATATATTGCAGTTGACAAAATCAAAAACAAACAACATGCATATGCAAAATTAAAAATATAAAATGGCGACAATTTACCCATTGCATCCTGGACTTAGGCATCAACAATTTGTTCAGTTGTTGATAATGGCTAGAGGTGGTCCAAAGTACTCTCAAACATCACAAACATATGACTGTTTCTCCATAAATTTAATATACTTATGCAAAGTGAAAAATATTCAAGAATTTAAACAAACTGACCCTGATGATTGAGTTCAATTAAACTTGTTTGAAAATATACTTAATAGCCACTTAAGTACACATAAATAAATGCTTTCATGCTGATTTGTAATCACAGTCAATGACACAGCAGAAATTTAATGGACATAACCATTTACGCATGGTCATGACAACCTGTTGAATTTCATTTCATGCCTTAGTATAGTAAAAAATTATTAAGTAACTTTGAACACAGCAAGGTCATTGGTGCCATTTGGCTAGGTCTGGGTATTTGAAAAACTGCTGATTTACTTGTATTTTCAGGCACAACCACCTTTAGAGTTTAGAGAGATAGTCAGAATAAGAAAAAAATTACAGGGCATGGCATTTCTGTGGGTGGAAATTTCTTACTGATGTAAGAGATTACCAAAGAAGATGGCCAAAGATGACCAAACAATAACTCAAACAAACACAGTTTACAATGGGGGGGGGTATACAGAAGTGCATCTCTGAAAAAACAAGTTAAGCCTTGAAGCAGATAGGCTACAGCAACAAAAGACTACACTGGGTGCCCCGCCTGTCTGATAAGAACAAGAGACTGAGGCTAAAATTTGATAAGATTCATAAAAATTAGAAAATTGGAAAAATTCTGATGAGTATCAATTTCTGCTGCAACACGAGGCCAGAGTTCAGCCTGAACAACATGAAAGTATAGATCCAACCTGCCTTGTAGCAATGGTTCAGGCTGGTGGTGGTGTAATGGTATGGGGAATATTCGTAGCAGATTCGTTCATGGAATATAGATATAAGTTTTCTATGTTAAAATGGTCCTCAAGGTCACTAGATTTCAATCCCATAAAGCACCTTTAGGATGTGGTGGTAAGGTAGATTCAAATCCTGAATCTTCAGCCAGTATGCACCAAGATTCAAGAGTACTTCTAGAACATCATAGAATTCATGCCAAGAAGAACTGAAATGGATCTAAGGGTTAAAAGAGCCCAGGCCAGTAATACAAGAGTATATTTAATAAAATGAATGTATCTTCATTTATGCATGTTTCCTTGAAACCCAATGAAAGTTCTTTATTTAACATTTTTTTATTTAATTTTCTTACAGTAGAGACCATTTTTCTGATTTCCAGGGAGAATTTGAACATAAATTTTCTAATGTCTTCTTAGAGCTTTCAGCTTTCACAAGTCATTACCAAAGAGTTTCCTTTTTGTGCAATAAGGATAATAGCTTATGAAAGTCAAAAGTATTCAGAAGATATTGGACTAAATTTTCAAATTTAAACTGGAAACCAGAAAATTTGCTTGAACCATGGAAAAATTAAGAAAGAATTTTCACTAGTCTTCAACCAAGTGTGCATATATAAAAAATTGCTGCCTATATATATATATATATATATATATATATATATATATAATAGCTGGCCACTCGTATTCAAGGATACCCGTCTACTAAGGTGGCTAGCCAATCCCTATTGCAGACTCTCGCTCAGTCACATATGTGTTTGTTCAACTGCTTTATACTGCAAATATGCTGAGCAGACCTTAGTTACAGTTTCTGAGAGAACTGTTATCTAGAATGATCAATAATCTGAACAACACCAGTACACTCAAGCACAGCTATCAACAGCCCCAAGTGTTCCATCCACCCAATTTCACTCACAAGGTTTGGGTCTATTTGTGGTATGGTTTTCAGGCACT